GTTAAATATGAGTGTTAAAAACAGGGTAATTTATTTTTAATATTTTAATTATCATTTAAATATTAAGGAAAATGAGTCTGAGTATTAAAAGATTCAGATTAGTCTACATTTTCTTTTAAAATGCCGATTAGCTTTATAATAACAACCCTTCTAATAGGCGTGTGCAAAAAGTAACTTTCCGCCTATATGCGGCAATAATATCAAACTATGACAATTCATGAAAAACGTCAACTTTCCAGTTAGATTTGAATGTGCAAAAGCCTACTTTGGATAGTGATCGTAGAAAAACAAATATATTAAGCACAAACCACAACAAATTAAAATTGAAAAAATTAAATATGCATGGAAGCAGTTTAAACTCGATTTCTTTAAATGCCAACTTCGAGTGATAATAAATATTGGCATCAATAGAGTGGAATCCAAAACAATGGCGATTTGACGTGCGTCAACTGAGATGCGCGGACTCTTCCCGCCAAACTGAGTTTTACTTCAGTTTATTCAGTTCCTGAAATGGACACACTTAGCCAAGACGCACTCAGCCAAGTGCAGTTTATAAATTTGAAGCCAAAGTTATCACAGACATTGCCAACTTTAGAAACGTTTTTTGTGGATCACATGTTACTTTACCCACTATAAAATTCTTAAAAATTACAATTTTTTATAGTTGTTTTTCTTACTATTTTATATCTTATACCCTACTCACTTATTTGAAGGAAAAAATAATATAGTTGGATAACTCTCCATTGTGTATTCCCAAGGTAAAATATTAACATCACCATTTATACGAGTAAACATAATTTTCTTTAAATAATTCAGTTTTCTTGCCACTGTAAGGTAAATATATGATATACCATTGCAGAAAGAACATTGTTTGGAATAGTAAAAAACTACAACAGACTAAAACAAAAAATATATAAAAATAATTTCGATAACACAATCCAATAAAATGACTTCATTGTCTTGGTGCCGGAAGAATAAGAACTGATTTAGAATAATTTCAATGTGCTGATTCCAAGAATACCTGCCATTTTTTCGTATCAACTCTAGTTTTTGAGATCAACAAGAATTAAATGATCTTTTTAGAAATCTAAACCTCTAAAAGAAGTTTTGCCTTCAGATTAAATGAAAATAATTTAATTTATTCAGGTACTAATATTTCATTTTATCGTAAAAGAGATAAGGTTCCACTGCCCTTTTATCTCAGGAAAATAACCTGGGCATTCTGTAACGATATAAGAGGATTCTTAGAAAAATGGGTCCGTTGGAATACCCATCAAATGACCGGTGCATTTTATTGACAGTTCAAACCGTAGTTATGTCCTTTTACACAACGGTAACAAATATGATTCATTACCACAGATGTCATTCGACTAATAACAAAGAGGAATATGAGACAATATCAATAGTCCTGAAAAAAAAAAATTAAATATGAACATCAATGGTTCGATCTAAAATTGGTAAACTATTACCAAAGTGAATATAAAAAATATCTTTATTTTCTGTCTGGGACAGCAGAACTAAGGATTAGGATTGGATGAACAGAAATTATTAGTCTTCATAAATGTGTCAAAGAAAACAAAACGTAATCAACAAACCTTCGGTTGCGAAAGAAAATCATATTTTAAGTTGGGGCTTTTGAAACAATTTGTGATGTCTACTTTAATTTTATTTTGACCAGTTTAACATCTAAATTTCTTGGGATAAGCACGGAAAAACTAAAAGCCGGAATATTTTATGGTTCTTAGGATCAACAATTTACCACATCAATGAACGAGATTGGTGTTAATTTCCTGAAGTAGTACAAAATTTCCTTAGAAATCATAAGGCAGATAATAATATAAAATTAATGAACCTATGCTTTACAACTTTAATATTATGAGTTGCAACATGAGCAAAAAAGTGAACTACCTCCACAACCAACTTAATCGGTTTCCAGAAATCTTAGATGAAATTTACTGAAGTCTTCAGCGAAACTGTCCTTATAAACTCCATGCTAGAAAGTCTTATAAAAGATATATTTTAAATGATCACTGATGATCTACTTTGTAAAATAATACCTTACTTTGTATTTTTAATTCTTTTTACTAGCAATTGGAGCATATAGTAACAGTAATAACGTAAAATGTACTTAACTTAAAAAATACAATGATATTAATCTAAGAAAGGCCAATATAGTGTACCTCAAATACCATAGATCTGATAGACCAAATCTGACAGCTATTTTGAATTCTGCACCCAAAATTAGTTATAAAATCACAGGCATCAACATGTCTATTGGTCTGTGTGATTAATAATCATTCAATAGATTTTATATTTTATAAGTTACCTTATCGTTTTGTAACACAGTTGGTAGGAATGTGCTTGTATCTAATTCCTTTATGAGCACCTGAGTCATATTTTCACTTTTTACTGGTTCAGATGAAGCAGAGAGAGTAGCAATTGAATTAAATGATCTATTCAAATGGTTTTTAGTATAGTTTAAAATAAATTCTCTTAATGATTGACTATTAATTGGCTGTTCCAAAATATAATGAGACTCCATCTATAAATGAAATATTGATTAATTAAATCTTTGAAAAAATTTAAAAAATTGTAATTTACTACCTTATCATTTAATATCACTACTGCACTTCTATCAGGCTGTTTATTTAAATCAATCCCAAGTCTTTCAGCAAAACTATAATGAAGCAAACTATCCATAGCAAGCAACACTAAGGTTTTATTAGTTTTACAGGACAAACCGGCAATACTGATATTTTTTGGAGAAGTACTTGTTTTTGCAAAAACAGTTGGATATATTTTTTCTGAAGCCAAGAAGTGTTTACATTTGTTCTTCAAAAACATTTTCTTAAGACTATCAGGGGATTTATAGTCAACAATTTCTAAAATAAAAAAAATCAATGATATAAATAGATGCCAAACCCAAACATATTGAATCACTTACCACTTATTAAAGAGGTTTTATACAACTGTACATTATCTACAAATTTATGTTTACATGCAAGTGGTTCTCTTATTACAGGAAACAATTCTAAACAATGCTCAGTCTTCAAGTTAGCACAGAAGTTTCTTATACTTTTTTCTATTATTAAATCACATTCTTTTAACTCGATTTTTTGGGAACAAGCAGACTCATTAGACCAAACAGTTTTTGTACTGGAAAGTAATTTTTGACTGGAAATTTTGGAATTTAAGTCACATGTTGCCTTTAGTTGTCTATGAGTCAATGAATTTGCTAAAAATAAATATATTATATTAGGTAGTATACTGGTACTACATACTTCATGTAGTTCCAAAATATTAAAATAATATATTTCCATTTAAAAATAGATTTTTTTAATTTTATGAAATATAACTAACTACATACCAGTTCTCTTTAATTTAAGATGAACATTAAGCATGTTGGCCACAATGTTGCTTTCTTCACAAATAAAGTATTCCTGAGCAACTTCTTGCAACTAAAATGTAGTTATTATACAAGTTGTAGTTATATAGGGTGACCAGATGTAATTTTACCAAAGTGTGACATAGATGACAAAGAAGGACAAGGATAATAATTTTAAATAGAATGTTATATTCCATAATGGATGTTCCATTAATATGCTATTGGCGGAGTCAACGTAATCATTTTGTTCATTATACCATTCATACAGGGAGATACAGAAAATTAAGTTCAAAGTCATGCAAGCAAATAAATTAACCTTTTAAAAAATATCACATTTTTAACTGAATCCAGCTTGCTACTTTGAAGAGAAAACATATATCCTCAAAAGTAAATTTTCCATTGCTTCATTATTTTAATTATACAGTTGAAAATCTGCTATTATGACTGAATTAAATTGTTAAAAAATATATTTTAAACTGAAATGTTTACTGAAAAATGCAGTTTATTAAAAATTTAAATATATTTCCATAAACAGAGAAATCTTGTATTAAAAAGTTAAGGAGTTTCTAAAAAATAATACCTAAGGACTCAAATAATATCGAACAGAAATTATGTAAATTTACTTTGGAAGATTAAATCTTTTAAAACAATATTTGTGTTAAATTTTTCAAAAGAAAAAAGGAACAAAATAATTGGAAAAATGAATCTTCATGTATGTTTAACACCTTAACAACTGTATCGTAAAGCCAAATCTGGTCCAAGTTGGGGAACATTTTATTTGAAATACTAGTTAGAGACTTAATTAATAGATAGTTTATTTTTCCTGAAAGATCATCTACATGATATAGGAAATGTCATAATATATAATAACAAGAAAAATACAAATTAAATTAAAAGTAAAACCCATAAAAATTAGCTAAGAATACTTATGTTAAATTGAAATAAAAAGTATGAACAACAACAAAAAAAAAGTGTAGTGGGACATTGAAAACATTACACGAAAAATTCTTCAACACTATACGGACATTTTTCTATTAGGTACTGTTTCAGTTTGATTTTAAATAAGCTATAAGTCACTATATTTTTAATTAGGCCAAAAAAATTGAAATAACGTTTTCCTATAAGAGTATTTGTATTCCTACATGAAAATACTTTTTCTAAATATCTTTCTCTATTTAAAGTACATGTATGGATCAGTAACCATATAACTACTGCTATTGTCGGCGAGTCACCAGGACCGCTAACTACAGCAGTTTATATATTTAGCATTAACATGCATCCTGTCGATACCACTGCTGTGAAAATATCAATATGCATGCTATATGAAGTTAACACGCGGTTCCAGGAGAAAATAAAAGTGTGCTAACCGTAGTTAGCAGGTGGTCATTAGGGTGTTAATCCCGAGGGTTGAGAGCCTACCGGGCGCGTCTTCGGGTGGTGGATAGGAGGACGGTCAGAGCATCTGGCTAGTGGCAGCTATAAGTAGGGTGACGGGACTTAAAAACCCCCAAAGTCCTTTGCGAAAACTGTCGCCGCGAACCAACTCCCCAAGTTAAGGCGTAACGCGATCCTTCCCGAGGACTGAATGATACCTGGGTCAAGGTATTGCAAACGGAGCCTCTGGGACACCAAGTCATCTCCCAGAGTATCACGACCTTACTGCGGCATGCGGGGCTCTGCCGTAGCGGACTGTTTTTTTTTAGCTACTCGTGGGATCATATATGAATTCTAAAAACAACCAAAATAATAGCTAAATGCAACAGCGTCAACCTCGAAAAGGGATACGACGAAGGCTGAACAGCTAGCAAAGATGCGTAAAGTCATCGGTTCCTCCCTGGAAGAGGTAGACCAAATGCCCGAGGACGAGGTACACTCTGCCCGTCTAGGTGGACACTCAAGAACGAGGCTAGAGGAGCTCTTGAGAACTGGCCTTGATTACACAGCCGCAGGTGATCAAGGAAAACTTTCAAAGGGCTCAAACAAAGCCCCAAAGGCTAGAGCGTCAAGACAAGGCGAAAGAAGCTGCCAAGCAAGGCACAAAAGCTCAAAAACGCCCAAGGTCGACAGACGCAACACCGCCGCAGGTCAGCCGACTGAGGAAGAAGCCCAGGACGGACGAAGTTTCGTTCAAAGAGGCCCTTACCTCAGTGAAGGTTGCCGTAGTACAAATAGGGTACCCGGAGATCAAGGTGAGTCCAGAGAGACTAGGAAAAGTCCAAGACTCGATCTCCGAGGCACACGACGAAATCCCCACAGAGGGAACACAAGTAAGGTTCGCCAAGTGCAGCCACAAGCCAGGTTGCCTGGTCGTGATTTTCGCGGACCGAACCAGTGCAGACTGGTTGCGGGACATCGTCACAACCATCCAACCTTGGAAAGGGGCAAACCTGAAAGCGTTGGAGGGTAACGATATTCCTAGGCCACTAGCCTCCAAAGCATTCGTCCCCGATGAAAGAGGACAAAGGCCCGAAGGGGATAAAATCCCCAAAAGGCTAAAAATAGCCAACCATGGGCTAAATACATACCTTTGGACGGTATGGGGTAAAACCCCATCGGCCAAAGGTCAAACGTGGGCTTTTTCGATGGATCGTGAATCCCTAGAGGAGCTAAAAAAGCTGGACATGTCCCCCTACTATGATCTAGGGAGACTTAAATTCAGAGTCAAAGGAGGACATGACCAAGAACCCGCCGAAAAGGTGAATAACCCAGGCACAAGTAGGTAAGAGGAAACCAAAGAGTCCTCTACGGAGGAAGAAACCCTGGCAGAGGATCACGGGGTGAAGTCTTCCCACAGCAGGGAAGAGGACACCAAAGAGTCCTCTTCAGAGGAAGAAACCTTCGTAGAGGACGACGAAGTGGAGTCTTCCTACAGAGGCAAGAAGCCCAAGAGGTGACTGTACCTATGGAAATTGGAGAGGCCTCTAAGAAGGCAGACAAACTGCCCAGTTCACAGAACTGAGCAGATCGATCAGGGTTCTTCAGGTGAACCTCCATCATGCCAAGGCGGCCACCGCTACGGTATGTAGGAGCTTCGACAAAGAGGGTCTAGATTTGGCCCTCTTGCAAGAATCCTGGTTACATGGCGGGAGGGTAGCAGGCCTAAAACCCAACCAAGGTAAGATTTTGTATAACGAAAGGTCTAAAAGACCACAAGCATGTATCTTATATAACAATAAGGTAAATTGTGTACTAATATCGGTGCTGTACACCGCTGATATTGTTACAGCTCTAACAACGCCGACAGAAGAAGCAACAAAAAGATGGCTAGTCTGTTCTGCATATTTCCCAGGCGAGGAGCTATGTCCCCGCATATAATAGGCGAACTAGTCTCATATGCGGCAAAGGGCTAATCATAGGATGCGATGCCAATGCCCATCATACCATCTGGGGAAGCACTGACATCAATACAAGAGGTGAGTCTTTATTACAATTCATCTTATCTGAAGGTTTAGTAATTGCTAATATAGGTAATAAACCAACCTTCGTCACGGCAACGAGAAGAGAAGTCCTAGATATGACTCTGTGCTCGAGTAAAGCAAGTGATAACATTTCAAAGTGACATGTGTCAGACGAACCATCGTACTCAGACCACAGACAGATTAGATTTGATCTAACTACCCCACCTCGAATTTGAACCAAATGGGAAGTGGGAAAGGTATTCAACATCACTTGGAGAGTATCTCGAAGAGGGTATGGTGGAAATAACAGGTGAACAAAGTCTTGACCGAGCAGTAGACCAAGTAAGTAAGGCCATTATAACCGCTTACGAGGAAAACTGTCCGGAGAAAACAAGGCAGCAAAGAACAAAAACAGTCTGGTAGAACAAACACTTAGAACGCCTTAGAGGCGAACGCTATTTAATAAAGCCAACTCAACCGAAGACTGGGCCTTATATAAGGCTAAACTCACGCAGTACAACAAGGAGATAAGAAAAGCTAAAAGGCAATCGTGGAGGAAGTTCTGTGAGGAGTTATCTGAAACACCCACATGCTCTAGAATCCACAAAGTCCTAGCTAAAGAGGGTACTGCAAACTAAGTAGGATTTCTCTGGAAAGATGATGAAACCTATACAAAAACCTTTGAGGAAACGTTAAAAATGCTCACAGAAGTACACTTTCCGGCCGCAGAAATTTTGCTAGTCCCGATAGTAGCATACAGCCCTCAAAGAAGGTCTCGTAGGCCAACTCCTTTGGAATGGAGGCTAGCTACAGAAATATCGAGGCCGAACAAAATTAGATGGGCTACAAATTTCAACCATACAAATCCCCAGGAGTAGATAGAATATATCCCATTCTACTTCAAAAAAGACAGGAAACGTTAATTCCACATGTGTCGCATATGTAAAGCATGTATAGCCTGGCGACATATTCCAAAGGCGTGGCAAAAGGTGAAAGTCATATACCTTCCTAAAGTAGGAAGGTTTAATGATATGACACCAAAGTCCTACCGCCCAATCAGTCTATCGTCATTCATGCTGAAAACGCTAGAAAGACTAATACTGAGAGACAACCCTCTCAGCGACTGTCAATATGCATATCAGCCAGGCAAGTCAACCGATTTGGCCCTGAATTATCTCGACAGGCTATTGTCAAAATCCCTGGAGGATAAAGAAATGGCAGTAGCAACTTTCGTAGATATTGAGGGAGCTTTTAGTAATGCCCAAACAAGATCTATAATTAACGCCCTAACAATGAAAGGGGTACCAGTAGTCCTGTCAGTGGATAAAAGCCAGCCTAGAAGAAAGGGTAATAACATCATCTCTAGGCGAAGCTACACTGACAGCTAAAGCAGACAGGGGCTGTCCCCAGGGAGGAGTACTATCACTCCTCCTTTGGTGGACGAACTCATAAAGGCTAATATCTGCAGATTTCTACTGCCTAGGGTATGCCGATGACCTGGCGATCGTCGTAAGAGGCAAGTTCGCAGGTACAATATCGGAGCGCACACAAACCGCGTGACGAGTGGTGCAGAGAGTAACAGTAAACCCTCACAAAACCAAAATAGTCAACTTTACAAAACGAAAAGTACCAACAGGACTAAAGTCACCAGTACTGAAAGGAGTGAAGATTCCATTTGCTCAAGAGGCCAAATACTAGGAAGTAATCTTTGACCACAGGTTAACATGAAATCAATACTTGCAAAAAGTCACCCAAAAGATCACAACATCACTCAACTTATGTCGAAGGTTGTGTGGAAAAAATTGGGGACTCCAATCGAAAATGACCCTATGGTTATATACTAGAGTCATAAGGCCGATGATAACCTACGGGTCGGTGGTATGGTGGCCAAAGACTCGACAAGCTGGAGCCATTCGACAGCTCAATGGTATTCAAAGGCAAGCATGCCTGAGCACCACGGGAGCTATGAGAACGACTCCAACAGCAGCTATAGAAGTCATGATAAACCTAACACCACTACATATATTCATTCAAGGCGAAGCCAGGTCTGTCACAAAGGTTCATCACCCATAAGCAGTTTGCATGGACGCGACTACAGCGAGCTATATAAAGAGTAAAGCTTTCAAAAGCAATATAAAGTAAGTATACCAGACAGGGAATCGTGGACGGGAGGACCTCCTATTCATGCAGAATTCACCTGGTAGTACCAAGCCAAAGACAAGAATCTCACTGAGCTTAGGTAAACATGCGACAGTATTCCAGGCAGAAATACGTCACTGAGCAAAAGAGGTATTAAGACAGAAGGTAAATGGAAAAACCATTGTCATATACTCAGACAGTCAAGCGACGTTAAAGGCACTCAGTTCCATGCAGGTACACTCAAAGCTTGTGTGGGACTGTTTGGAAGTCCTAACAGAGCTGGGTAGTCAAAACAGACTAACCTTAGCCTGGGTACCAGGCCACAGAGGACATAAGGGCAACGAAGAGGCTGATTTACTAGCCCGAGAAGGAGCTTCAAATGCTCTTATTGGCCAAGAACCCTTCTGTGGTATAACAAAAACAACTATCAGAACATGCACAAAGCAGTGGATGTTTAAAAAATCTCAGGAGTGGTGGAAAAACTCTCCAGGACAGAGACATGCCAAAGAGTTCTTAAAAGGACCATCGCCTAAACTCACCGAGCATCTACTAAGCCTTAATAGGAAAAATACTAGAGTACTAATAGGTCTATTAACAGGGCATTGTAGACTTAACAAACATATATACAATATCGGTCTGACAGAAGAAACCTTGTGCCGATTCTGTCAGGAAGAGGAGGAAACGGCAGTACACGTATTGTGCTACTGCGAAGGTCTAGCAAGACTGAGATTCCTTACGCTTGGAGAAGAAAAACCAAGGGCAACTAACTATACCGGAGACTTACTTCCCATTCTATGGAGTCTACTACAACAAAAGACCGAATTAGACAAGGTACTCTAAACAACGATTCAAGGATATCCACAATAGATCTGAAAAGGTCGAGGTGGGGGAGGCCACATGGCCCACAGTCCTAATTAAATCTAATCTAGGGTGTTAATAGTAGTTTGTGCAAGACGAGTGGATATGGACAATCTACTCGGGTTGTACAGTATATTTTTTCTACGGCCCACTAACGAAAATAATACAAATATAAAACATTATTTTAGGTGATTAAGACAAAATAACTAATTCTAAAATGATTTATGAATTTTAATAGTTTGTAAAATAAAATAAACATGAAATAAAAAAGATTTCATTTAATTAGTTCCCAGCCCAGATTTGAACTCGGGTTTTTTAAGTGGAAGACATATGCTGTCCTCAACTCCACCGCCGCTTTTAGGTTTGTAGTTTTAATACTCATAATTAAATTACTTTCATATAGTTTCATTAAAATTTAATTTTTTTTTTAAATGTGGACCAAATAAAAATACTATTATTTATCGATTCTACACAAAAATAACTCATTTTAATGTATATTTCATCGCAATAACTAAAAAATATACTGATAATTAGTTTGACATTTTATAAGTAATAGTAGTTGGGTATCCAAAATATGAACTGTGATTGGTGAATTTAATTTTTTTGCAGTGTTCTCACTACCTAGAATGGATATGAAATATATTCGTTCAGTCGAATATAATAGCAAACTTTCGTTTTGTAGTCTGTGCATAGATAAGCTAATATCCATGTGGGTGTAGAAAAAAAAAATAAAACAATTTAATAGAATATTTTGAAAAGAGTGATCCACAAAAAGTGTTCCTAAAATAGGCCATGACCGATAAAGTCAGATACGAATAGACGTTTGTTATAACTAGGCACAGGTCTTAATAAAATTCCAAACTGACACTTAAAAAGTAGAAGACATAACTCGTATCTCTGTCAGTCATGGCCTGCTTTAGAAACATTTTTTGTGGCTCATTCATTATCTATGCAGATTCGAACAGGGTTGGAATTTTAAACAATTTAGAAGAATAATAAATACATCAATAACAAATTACCATTATGATTTTGAAATGAATTTTCGGTATTGCCCAGTACAGTTACAAGAATGTTGCAATTGAGCAAAATACTTACTTTGACTCCCTCAATAACATATTACCATTTTTAGCAATGCTGTCAGTGTAGAAACCCTATTAAAGGTTCGAGATATCCTTCCATTTCTGTATTGCCAAACAGCATCCATTGAAAACATTTAACTCATTCAAAAGTCTCTCCATTTCTTCAAATATTCTATACATTTTGAGTAAAATAATTCATTTACCTCTTTTTTATATCCTTTCTACAGGTGGCAGATTTTTATTTTAAAGTGGAAGACTTGAAATTTGGTCAAAAAATGACATGTCAGACAACTAGTCACCCTAAGCTATGTATTTTTACTTATTCTTAATTATTGAGAAAAAACTTACTAGACTATAATAATCACTGTTAGTATGTAGGGGATTTTTTGGTGTAAAAAGAATAAGAGAAGCAGCATTTTGCATATTATTAGACAAAGCCGAGCTTTTTGTTCCGCTTGGTAACACCCAACAAGTTATTTGATGAGTATGTTTGATAATCCACTGCAAAATTTCATCTGGTAGCCAGGGTCTATCATTAATTGGATATATCTAAAATAAACAAAAAATACAACAAGTTAATAACATAATCTTTTTTTTATAAGTACAAGATTTTATGGACTTATACCTACTAATGTTTCATTCCACATAAATAGTTGTAAAGATGGAACAGAAGTATTAGAAGGAGTAACATAAAATGTTATTCGATATTGTGGGTCTTTTTCCAAATACCTAAGTGCTGCAGTATATAATACTGCAAAATCCATGCTACCTGGAGATGTGTTTAATTTCACTTTTATATATGCCTACAAAAGAATAAATTAGGATTATTTTGTTTCATTGATAATAGTATTTTTTTATAAGAATAATACTTATTTATAGTAAAACATACAATGTTTGTAAATCTATTAATTCAAAAATGCATGTTTTAAGGGGTAAAATAGGTATTTTTATGTACAAAAATTTATAGTATTCAACAGTAATGTTTTAATCATACTAACATCTTGAAAATCTCTAATGCTTTCATTACTTAAATGTGTTATAGGATGACAAACTTTATTTAAAAACTCAATTATATGTGGGGCACTTATAGGACCATTATACTGAACTCCTCTTCCATGTGGCAAGTAAGCAATAAGCACTGGCCACTTATAAACTTTGTTATATTGAGTTCTGCATTCGCCATGAGGTTGCCAACAATTTACTGCAACGAATTTGACACGATCTTGCATAAATTCAGCTGCTATTTGAAATTCTTTTCTAGCATCTTGACTATCTGCATCCCAAGGTGCATAAAACATTACAAAAGCAATATCACTGAATCTAGCATGTTCTATAGCTTTGCTGATTTGTCCTCTATACCAATCTGTTACAATTGAGTTTTCTGGGAAAAAACGATATGCTGCTGGAGAGTTTGATATCTTTGGTGGACTGCAATAAGACATATAGCAGAATTAATTAAAAATGTTTAAATGTGTTACTGAAATAATACGCTTACTCTTTACTAAATGCGGCGTACGTCATCATTACCAGAAAAAAAATTGCAACCTCTCTACAAAAATTCAGCATCCTTATTAAAAAAGTGGGAAATTCGTCGTTTTCTTGATTGTTTTTAATTTCTTCACGAATTTCGAATATCTCACTTTTGTTGGTATAATTTGAATTAGTTGTGTTTGTGGTGCTGATAACATTATCATCAGATTCGTGGCAATTATCAGGCAATATTTTAGCCTCCCTGGTCTTTAATTTTAACAAAGACATACCCGTACCGCCTCATTACATAGTACTAGAAGTTACACTTCTATCATTTTTTGTTTTTCTCTGAAAAACCTAATTCAATTAAAGTTATTCATAATTTAATTAAAAACATTTATATTTTAACAAGTACAAAAATGATTGGAATCTCTCACAAATAAAAAATAAACACGTCTTGGAATGTCATACGTCAAATGTCTTCGTTCGTCTTCTTCTTTCGTTTATTTGTTTGATCTGCTACGGCTATGCGGTTTATCGTACATATATGCCGCGTTTGAGAATCCACATCGGATGCATCTAAGGCTCTATCAAGCTAGCGGGCACTCTGTGGCGGCACCATACAAGACCTGGTGGGTTTTTTGTAGCTTTTTTGTTACGCTATTTGCGAATTTGTAGCTTTGCCCAGGTCCGAAAAAACAGCGGATCCGCTAGCTTGAATTTCCATAAATTCCATAGTAGCGGCACAGATTCAGACCCAGCTGGTTTTTCGTAACCTTTTTGTAGCTTTTTTGTTACGCTAGTCTCCCTTTTGTAGCTTGTACTGAACCTGAGAAAAGCGCGGATCCGCTAGCTTAGCGGATATTTGTAGCGGCACCAGCTCGGACCAGGCTCATTTTTTGTAACTTTTTTGTAGCTTTTTTGTTACGCCTGTCTCCATTTCGTTGCGAGGCCTGAACGTGAGTAATAATCGTTTCTCCATGAGCGTGAGAGAAAAGTGCGTTAATTTAAAATCAAGTTTCGGCCTCTACAAATAGTATGTGCAACTCGATAGTGTGACTATCTGTTGATAGATGGCACCAGTATTGCATTTCACGAATTATGGCCATCTTCCATCTAATATATTTTTGAGAAATTTAGATATAGGGTCCTATGTAAAGGGTATGGTCTGTGGTCCTATGATTGAACGTTTACGTTAAGTTTAACACGAATCTGTTATGTTATGCTAACAGGGAACAGATAACGGGGTCTATTCTGTAACAATTCCTTTATATTTAACGGCCTTTAAAAATATTGGCGGCCTATAAAAATATGTTCGTATTCGTTAATTTACTTCTGTCATTATTTAAACAGATTTCTCTAAGATAGTCCTCTAATGTATTTTAAAGATCCATTTAAATAATGACAGAAGTAAAGAAGAAAATATTTTTAAAGGCCGTTAAATATAAAGGAATTGTTACAGAATAGACCCCATTGTATGAAATAACAGTAGGTGTCATATCCGTATGATTGAAGTAGTCGATAACAGAAGATGTTGAGCTGGCTGTTATGAATGGAAGAAAGTATTTATTTGCGCTATTGCGCGTGCGCACAAAATGTACCTAACTTCACTTTATTTCTAAAAATGACTAAAATGAGGTTTTTCATGTTTTTCTGAATGAAAAAAAAAACAACAATTAGGTTAGAATTTTTTGTAGTTCATTTTTCAGTTTTATTTAATTTTTTATGGCGAAAAGATTAGCTAAAACAACTGTGTAATAGTATGAGGAACTACATAATTTTGTTAGAAAAAACAAAATTATTCTCACGGGGAAAACAAATATATTAGATAAAAAAAAATCAAACCTTTGGCTAGTATTTACAAATCATATAATTTAAAAACAAATTCAAATATACTAAGAATTCAGATAATTAGCAATATAGGTATTAGATAATTAAATAATAAACAAATAAAGTGGTAACATAGACGTTGGACACTTAACGGCATGTTATTCGAGGCTGTTGAGGCGATGCGTTAAATTAGAACATAACAGGTGGAAAATAACAGTAACGTGTTATGAAAAACTTTACATCATACGAATTTGGCACGTTGCAGTTAAAACTCGGCCTAACATGTACGTTACGGATAACGTAAACGTTCAATCATAGGACCCATAATCTCAAAGCGGACATTTGTTTTTAAATGTTTTTTAGTGTTGTTTATGTATTTATACTTTCGTTGAATCAAGAATATTCTTACATCTTTTTTGAATGATTTCCTTAACCAATCGTTTTGCAGTATTTACCCAGCAAACACTGATGTGCCAAAAACTTGTCGGCCGATGATTGAAATTATGGTACAAAAATATAGCAATTAAATAATGCAAACTAGGCGGTTTAGTTTAACGTAGAGACATATTCACATTCATTGGCACTATTTTATTGCATATTAAGTGTAAATTATTGTCATACTCCTCTACTACAAACTTGATATTCTTCTTGGGTGGCTCTAAAAAGCACTGTACCAGCATTTACAAGTGACGGGGAATTGAATGCCAGGAAAACATCGGCCGCCTGGACGCGGGGATGCCGGCAGTGTACTCTATTATAAGTGCTTTGCCGACACTTCAAGTACTGTTTACATGTATTGGGCCAGTGTTGGGACGTTTATCTGTGTTTGTTGGGTATGGACACCATAGTGTTTAATTCTGTCGGATCACAACTATACAGTGTGTTCCATCTCAGACGAGCCACCCCGTATATTTCTTATCCCATAGTAATTGGAAAATTTTCCCGAAACACGTCGGATGATTTTCTTTGGGGGACATCGATCTTTTGACGTATATTTGAGGCTTGAACCAGCAACCCAGACAACACACCAAATCCCAGAGATATCCACAGAATATCTCTTGTGGATATCCAATATATCCACAGGATATCAGAAATATTCCGTGGATCTAATATGGATATCCAAATGTCCGTCTATATCCAGAATATAGAAGATATCATATGGATATCCAGCAAAATATCTAATGAGTATCTTTCAGACAATACAAAAAATCCCAGAGATCCACAGAATATATTCTGTGGATATCCAACCATAAATGTCCGTCTATATCCCAGGATATGGAAGAATTCGGATATTCAGCAAAATATTTTACAGGAGGTATCTTTAGTAGAGGTTCATAAGTAACCAATGATTATTGAATAAAGTCGAAAGAAAATAGCAGAGATAAAACATATTTTCAACACTCTGCCTTTGATTTTGCCCACTAAGGAGAAAGTTATATTAGGACTCTTCAGCAATAATTAGAAATTCGATCGAACTCAATTACGGCGGGTTGACCATGAGTAGATGCGAAAGTAATATCGCTGTCTATACTTAGGAAGCAAAATCAAAAATTACATCTAGTAGATATCCACGATGGTTTGCGTCCGCGCTTAGACTTTGATGTATTTATATTTATAGTGGATGTCCATGGGATATTGAATACACCTTAAAAAAATTAATTTTAAATATCTCAACGATACTATTAGCCACAATGGCGAGTACAATGGCGTAATTTTTTAATAATTTGCTATATAATTACAATTATTTATGGACATTTGCATGTCTATAAATTACATTTCATGGATATAAAATAGATATCCACCATGGACTGGACATTCAGTGGATATTGGGATGTTCAGTAGATATCCAAAGGATTTGGTGTGCTGTCTGGGAACTATACGGGGTGGCTCGTCTGAGATGGAACACCCTGTATATAGTGAGAATAGGTAATTACTTGGGGTGAGATTACAGAACGTCTGCAACTTTGCATCTGCAACTTTGCATCTGCAACTTTGCAAATATGGCGGACTTACAAATGTAAGTATTCCAAAAAATATCTGCAAATTCGTAATATTTATTGTGATTTATTACCCCCAACAACACTAAACCCAAATTTGGAATACGAAACCTTGATACTTGCATGTGTAAGTCAGTCATATTTGCAGATTTTCAAAGTTGCCGCCATATTTGCAGATCTGCAAAGTTGCAGACGTTCTGTAATCTCACCCTTGGTAGCTATTACCACCGGTGTGAAGTTAGCAGTAAGTTTTTAGCAGTAAAAATAACCGAAAACACCCGATCGGGAAAATAGTGGCGTCCGGCATACAACTATTTTAATAATCTTGTCAATATGTATTTTACATTAATATCGGACAAATAATTAATATACATACCGTTGAAAATGCCGATTTTGAGATAATGGGTGCTATGATTGAACGTTTACGTTATCCATAACGTACATGTTAGGCCGAATTTTAACAGTAACGAGGCAAGTTCGTATGATGGAAACCTGTTAAATTAGAAGATAACAGGCGGAAAATAACAGTAACGTGTTGGAAAAAGTTTTCCATCATACGAACTTGCCTCATTACTGTTAAAACTCTGCCTAACATGTACGTTATGGATAACGTAAACGTTCAATCATAGGACCCTATATCTAAATTTCTCAAAAATATATTAGATGGAAGATGGCCATAATTCGTGAAATGCAATACTGGTGCCATCTAGCAACAGATAGTCACACTATCGAGTTACACATATTACTTGTAGAGGCCGAAACTTGATTTTAAATTAACGCACTTTTCTCTCACGCTCATGGAGAAACGATTATTACTCACGTTCAGGCCTCGCAACGAAATCGAGACAGGCGTAACAAAAAAGCTACAAAAAAGTTACAAAAAATGAGCCGGGTCCGGGATGGTGCCGCTACAAATATCCGCTAAGCTAGCGGATCCGCGCTTTTCTCAGGTTCAGTACAAGCTACAAAAGGGAGACTAGCGTAACAAAAAAGCTACAAAAAAGTTACGAAAAACCAGCTGGGTCTGAATCTGTGCCGCTACTATGGAATTTATGGAAATTCAAGCTAGCACATCCGCTGTTTTTTCGGACCTGGGCAAAGCTACAAATTCGCAAATAGCGTAACAAGAAAGCTACAAAAAAGCTACAAAAAACCCGCCAGGTCTTGAATGGTGCCGCCACAGAGTGCCCGCTAGCTTGATATCTTGTTCTCAAACGCGGCAGTAGTAGATGTGTCCGATGTGGATTCTCAAACGCGGCATATACAGATAAAAAAAGAAGAATAGAATAGTATTGTAACTAACTTCATTTAATTAAGAGTAGTTGAAAATGAAAATGAAAGATGATTGACAGAAAATACATAAAAATAAATGTAAATGGTATAAAAGAATAAATTTATGTAAATATTGTTTTGCTATTAGTTGTAAATATTAATTGGTAACAGTACTGTGATATTTGTAAT